GTAAAAAGCTTAATGAATGTGAAAGATTTGAGAGAGAGAAGAACTTGTGGAGATTCCTTGTTGAGTTGATATATATCTGAGTATGGCTTTGCATTGCATAATTGAGCATGAACTTGAATTCTCATTGTGATCATTTCTCTCAAAAAGGAAATGTGAACTCCCATGCATTCAACCTCTTTCTCTCATTTGTTCTTGTTTGCTTGGGGACAAGCAAAGGACAAGTGTGGGGGAGTTGATATGTTTATAATTTGCATCATTTAGGTTGCATAATTCATTCTAAATCATGTTTTATTCCATGCATTTTAGGTCCTTAGGGTTTGTTTTAGAACTTAGGAGATGCATTAGGTTCCAATTAGTCTTTGCATGTTTTGAGTGTTTATCAGGTGCATTTGGAGCTGAAAAGATGAATCCAGGAGGTGGAATGGTGATCAAAGCTTGAAAAGTGGCAAAATTGGGTCTTTGGAGGTTATCGGCCATTCTCGCTGACCAGGAAGGTTTTCTCGGCCATTCTCACGCACCAGGAAGGGTTTTACCGACCATTTTCATGTATCGCGGGTAGACCTTATCGGCCAAAACGCGTACCGCGAGTAGACCTTATCGGCCAAAATCTCTGGGTGTAGACACGTTTCTGAAATCGCCTGTCCGGGGAACCTTCCGGTCCGATTCAGATTGGAGGGTGCTTCATAGAAATTGGAGAGGATTGGAGCACGGTTTCATAGCAAGTGGAATCACGGAATTCGGACGCGTGAGCAGAGAGTTAAGCTCGTCGGAAGAAACCCCTGTCTCGCTGCTGTTTTGGACCAAGCCGATGAGCTCTGAAGAATGCGAAGGACAGTGTACTTCCAGGCCGATTCAGTTTTCTTTCGAGAACACTTGAGTGGGGCCTTCATGAGAATCAGAGACAATTGAGTCTTCTTTCCAGAACGTCCGAGATCATTCAAGTCGGAGCTATGAGCAGGAAGATACGGTCTCCGGAATAGACACATGTCTAGACGCCTCTCTCTGTTCGTGTAAATGCACTGCAAAGATGTGCCCTCCAGGAAGCCTTCCACTTCCCAAGCACCGAAGCTTCTTTCACCAACGTTGGAGATAAATGAGTCCTCTGCCTTCTGCAACCGGAATCACTCAATTCGGACTAGTTTCGTGGAAGTTACACTCTCCGGAATGCGAAGTGGTCCAACCTGCTCTGAAAGCTGCGAGATGGTCTTGCGGCTTGGTTAACCCGCAGGCCTGAAGATGAATGCCTGAAAACTGATGCTGCGAGTTGAGAAGTGCGGGTAAGCTATCACTGGATGAGGTCTGAAGCTCCCGAGCAAGAGAAATGCTAAGTTCACAATCATGCGACTTAGGCATGCGAGTTGGCCGTGCCTGGAACCAAGCCGCACGATCACTCGCAATTTACTCCGACTTGAGCCTGCGACCTGAGTGCAATGGAGACCAACCCGCAGAGTTTGTTCACTCCCCAGAAACCGCCTTGGTCCTGCAAGTTGAAGAAGAAGAGGATTAAGCCGCAGCATGACTCGCAAATCACTCCTACATGGGCATGCGGCTAAGACAAGACTATCTAAGCCTCACAAGACAGATTCTTCATCTACTGCGACTTGGGCATGCTACCTGGGACATACTGGACCAACCCGCAGTAATTCCCACTTTATCCATTAAAGCCGGGTCAGGACCCGGTTTGTTCCGGGCTGACTCGGTTCGTTTTAGAGAAGTATAAATACTTTTTAGGGTTTTTTTTTGAGGGAACTAAGTTTTATTCCCCTTTTTTCTTGCCTCTTTTGTGAAAGACTCCATTAAGAAGAGCAATATCTATATTTGAGTGTTTAATCAAGAGAGTTTTAAGAGATCTGGGTGTTTAAAGCTGTTTTCTCTTGAATCTATCATCTCCATCTCCATTTCTCATCATTAATCATGCCAATCTTCTCTACTTGCAAAGGTTTAAGAGAGATTAGTATGATTAGTGAGTAGTCTCCTTAATGAGGTTCTAGATATGTAGGTTAGGGTGCTAAAGTGTTAGATTAGAAGTGCTTAGGGCTAGATTCATTGATTCATTTCTCTAAACAGCTGTTCTCTATGCTAGATCCTTGCATATCACTTGAGATCTAGATTCTGGGAATTTCATGCACCAAAAGTGTTTGATGAAATTCCTGAAAGAGCTGTATTAGAGGTTTTTTCTGCATGATGATGTATTGTTAATTGCTTGAATGATCACTAAGAACTGTTTATTAATGCATATTGATTCATATTTCACAAATGGGAATTTGGTTTGAAAATGGATTAGTATGGGGGTTAATACCTTCATGAGAGGATTAACCTAGATTAAAGTTCTTAATCATTTGAATCATGTCTCATCATTGTCATTAGCATTTCTAGTTTAGCATCAAAGCACCCTAACCAACTATCATGTCTAGAATCTCATGCCTCCATCATATCATATTCACATCATTTGTCATTGTCATTAGTCTTTAATCCTGTTTAAGTTTGTAGTTGTCATTAGTTAACCAAAATCACTCTTGTTTGCTTGAATTAAGAACATAATCACATAGTTTAGTGTCTAACACCACATCTGGATTGATAAACCTCTTTGTGCTACTTTGACAAGGGGATTGATAACCTCTATAAAGAGCCTTGAAAACTCTTAGTTATCACCAAACTGTCATGGAACTCTTGTAAGATGACTAGAATGAAAACTGATGATTGTGGGATCACCAAACGTTTCTTATACCACAATCGACCATTTTGAACCGAATAACCTTGTTTCACTGGTTCACCCTTTAATACATGTGAGATTAACTTCTGTATTTTCTCATCCTTTTAAATCTCTGCATATAGTTCCTCCATTTGTATGTTATGGGGAATCACTACTGTCGTGATCAAGTGAGTCTCAGTCATTAAAAGGTCATTTCCCATCCTTGAGAGACCATCTGCTGCTTTATTATCAACCCCGGCTTTGTATATGATATCAAACTGGAATCCCATCAATTTGGTTAACCACTTTTGATACTCCATTGAGACTTCTTTCTGATCCAACAGAAATTTCAAACTCTTCTGATCTGTGTGAACCAAAAACCGTCGACCAATCAAGTAATGTTTCCACTTTAAAACCGCCATCACTATAGCCATAAGTTCTCGTTCATATATTGGCTTTAGTTGTTCCCTTGGCGATAGTCCCCGAATAAAATAAGCAATGGGTCTTTTCTTTTGCATCAACACAGCTCCCAGTCCAAATCCAGATGCGTATGTTTCTACTACAAACATCTCAGAGAAATCTGGAAGTATCAAAACTGGAGCCGTTACCATGGCCTTTTTCAAGGAGTCAAATGCTTGTTGAGCTTTTTCTGACCATTCGAAACTGTCTTTCTTCAATAGTTCAGTCAGAGGCCGAGCCAACATTCCATAACCCTGCACGAATCGTTTATAATACCCCGTAAGACCCAAGAACCCTCGGAGTTCCTTTACCGACTTCGGTGTAGCCCAACGCTGCATTGCTTCTGTTTTAGATGGATCAGTGGCTACACCAGATTCAGAAATGATGTGTCCCAAGTAGTCGAATTGTTTTTAACCAAAGAGGCATTTCTTTTTATCTGCATACATGCGCTGTTCCTTAAAAACTTTCAATACCAGCTGTAAATGTATGCAGTGAGCCTCAATGAAAGAACTGGATATCAGCACATCATCGAAGAAGACTAATACAAACTTCCTCAAAAACAGTGAATATTTGATTCATCAGTCCCTGGAATGTTGATGGGGCATTCGTTAAACCGAATGGCATCACTAGGAATTCATAGTGGCCTTCATGCGTGCGAAATGCTGTTTTCTTGATATCTTCTTCTCTCATTCTGATCTGATGATATCCAGATCTTAAATCAAGTTTAGAGAAAACCGAAGCACCATGAAGTTCATTAAGCAACTGGTCTATCATGGGAATTGGGTATTTGTCCGGAATTGTTGCACGGTTCAATGCTCTGTAATCCACACAGAATCTCCAACTTTGGTCTTTCTTCCGTACTAACAGTACAGGACTTGAAAATGGACTTTTACTAGGTCGTATAATCCCTGTTGCAAGCATTTCAGTTACTAGTTTCTCCATTGCCTCCTTACTAGCATGTGGATATCTATAGGGTCGGACCGAGACTAATGTTACTCCAGGGATCAGTGATATTGTGTGTTCACGACCACGAATGGGTGGTAGACCCGAAGGTATGTCAAATACCAATGGAAACTGATCCAAAACCTTCACAATCTCTGTAGGAATTTGTTCCGGTTGTTGTTGCATTTGGTGATTGTTGAATTCAATGATGGTGCCTTTGGATTTCACAGAAAAGGTCGGAGATAATGATTTCAGTGAGATCTTCTGGCTGTGCAGGTCCATAACTCCTTTCAACGTTGCACGTTTGCCTTTGTATTTAAAGGACCACTCATGTAAATCCCAATCAACCTCACACTTTCCTAAGGTTCTCAACCATTGGACGGCCCAAGATTATATCTGCACAACTTAACTCCAACAATATAAAGTCTGAGACGAAATCGAGACCTTGAAGTGTGAATGCAACTTGTTTACACAACCCTGAGCCTTCGGCTATAATTCCAGTTCCCAGATTCACGTGTAGGTTACTGAATTTGAGCATCTGCAGTTTCAGCTTTTGGACCATCTGTGGAGCTACGAAGTTATGTGTTGCCCGCTATCGATCATAAACACTAATGTCGTCCGTCCTATCGTCCCACGAAGTTTAGTAATTGTCGGAGAATCTATCCCAAAGAATGCACTGAAAGATATCTGCATTAGTTGTGATGATTCAGTCACTTCAGTCTCCTCTTCTGCTGAAAAACCTTCTTCAGTCATTTCCACTTCTTCTCCATTTTCAACCGACAACACTTGCAACTCCCTCTTTGGACAAACTGCTCTATGACCCGCAAAGTATTTCCCATCACACTTGAAACATATATTGTTTTTTTTTGTTTCTCGTCCAATTCTGCATCTGTAAACATTTGCCGAGGTCGTAAGGGTTTGTTCGCAGCTTGTCCTGACGGTTGTCCTGTATTAACGCCCTTTCCTTTTCCTATTGCTACTTGATTCTGAGGAATAACCCTTGATCGTTGAGTATTATACATCCACGAGGATCTCATAGGTTGATAGACAACTTCTCTCTACGGTTTATCACCTGGCTGATATACCTCACTCAAGACCTTACAGAACGCACTGGATTCCATTTTCAATACTGCAGTTTTGTGATTTCGCAAGCCTTTAGGTTCTTTCATCCGGATAACCTCCTTCATCTCCGGTTTAAGTCTGTTGTAAGAGATATTGATCAAGTTCTTCTCATCCACTCCTCTGACTTGACTTGATAGTTCCTCAAATTCCTGCACATACTCAGCTATTGATCCCAGTTGTTTAATACCACACAAGTGTTTTCCTGGTTCGTCTTCTAAAGCTTCGTCAAAGCGATCCAATAGTTTCTCTTTGAAATCCATCCAGTCTGAGAACTCATTGTCAGCTATTTCCCAATTATACCAATTTAGTACTGGTCCTTCCAGATTCAACGAGACCAGACCTAATTTATCATCCTCTGTATACTGACCAAGCCGGAAGAATCGTTCGACTCTAGATATCCAAGCGTATGGTAAACGGCCATTGAATACCGGAAAATTAACATTTCTCAACATTGATTCCCTAGTAGCTAGAATACCAGATAATCCCTGATAACCTAGCTGAGAGTCCCTCCGGTCAGAGATAGAGTCAGATAATGGTACCTGATTTGGGATTTCCGATGAATTTGCCGTATCCTTGCCATAAGGTTTCGGAACGTGCATTCCTTCTTTGATCTGTGCTAGTATTCTACCAATCAGCTCCATATGCTTTGATTGTAGCTCCAATTGATGTTCGATCGCTTCAAAGCGTCGATCTGACTTCTCCACCATTTCATCGACTCTTTTGTTCGATTTCTCCACCACTACTATCAATTCGTCGATTTCCACCTGAGAATCGCGAACTGATCCTTCGATAAGCTTCAGTTTCTTCGATTGATCTCCCATTTTCGCCTTCGCTCAGTTTGACACGTCACGACACACCATTTTGATAAGTTTGCAACCTCGATCTCTCTCTCTCTTCTCTCTTTTCTGTAATACGAACAAAGAATATTTAGTGATAAGTAAAGGGAATTACACTCACTAATACGATCTCATGACGATCACGACTCAAGGCTCATAACGCCTGAGCTAAGAATGTAACTACTTTTCTGGATAAGTGCTCACAAGCGAGCCTTTCCCTATTTATATGAACAGACAACAACCTCCTTAACTATACAAACGACTCTAACAGAAAAACAAACTTCTGAAGTCAACCCTCCTCGTTGATTTTCTCTGTTTCTTCTATCTTCTCTTCAGCTCTTTTTCTTCGAATATACTGCCTTCTGAACCTATAAATTTCTCACCACTTTGTCAATATGTCTGACCAGGTGCTCTATATTGGAATATTTCTAAGGATATGATGTTATCTCTTAAAGTGTAGGACGATGGGATTTATATAAAGTCCCTTGTAACATGATTGATAACATGATTGATCTAATACAACAGACAGAACTACAAAACTGATTCACGTTTTCTTTCATTTTTTTTTCTTTTCTTTTTTCTTACAAATCTCTGTTCGTTTTTTTTTCACTAAACACAAAACATAAAACATGTCCGACTCAGACAATTCATGGTTGTTTTTATCGCTCTGACGACCGATACTATTTTCATATCCCCATACTATTTTCATTCCTCGAACAACACCGAGTAAATTCAAACTCTGATCTTGCTAAACAGAATGAATTACGAACGATGGGCGAAGCTGATGATCAACTCACTTCACACCAAGAGTAAGTTATAGTTCATTGATGGAACTCTAAAGAGGCCGTCCAACGATTCTGATGAAGCAGAAAAGTAGAACATGGTCAATGCTATGATGGATTTATAGCAGCGTTGAACCGAAACTTTGACCTTCGATATCTCTGGTAGACAGCGCGAAGGTGATGTGGTCAGGCTTTCGGCGTCGTTTTTCGGTGAGCGATGACACTCAGCATTCACCAACTTCATGCTGATATCACTGCATGTAACACAAGATGGTGATTCCGTCGAAGAATACTACAGCAAGCTCAAAGTTCAATGGGATGATCTTGCTAATTTTGATAAAGGTTTTTCTTGTTGTTGCAAAATTTTCAACTGTCCTTTCATGTTAGCCTCAGAGAAAAGCAAAGAGAAGGTCCGAGCACATCAATTCCTTATGGAACTTGACAACTACCGTTTTGGAACAGCACGTTCCAACATTCTGAGCAGAGGCACCGATATGAACCTAGAGAGGATTTATTCCCAGGTCAATCAGGAAGAGCGACATATCTCTTCAATGCGAATGTCGGAGGAACGTGTTCCTGCGGTTGGTTTCTTGGCTGCAACAACTTCGTTAACTCCCTCAACTCGTCAAAACGGTCCACAAGCAGCAGCCTCTCATTTCGTCGGTCCATCAACAACATGCTCCAATTGCGGATAAACAGGGCATGAGGCGAGCATCTGTTTTCATCTCATCGAATTTCCGGAGTGGTGGTATGACAAGACAAAATAAAAAGGAGGCAATTCTGGCAGAGACAGAGGTCACAGTAATGACTTTCAAGGCAGAAGACGAGGAGGCCGTGGCTCAGGTTTTTGATCCAACAATGCTCAAATTGGAGAAGCTTCAGACGCTCCCAGTATTCCAAACGTTACTCCGGAACAATGAACATCTCTCACTGAATTCATGAACAGTCACAAATAGGATACCTCTTCCGAAAAACTTTCCGATAATACAAATAAACTATATTTCTTTGGGAAAAACAGTCGATTTGATATCATCATCGATTCAGGCGCCTCACACCATATGACTGGCGATATCACCTTATTAACCGATGTGGTGACCATTGATCCCTGCCCTATCACTCTGCCCAATGGGCAGCTGATTTGGGCATCACGATATGGGACACTCAGCCTTGGTGGCCAGCTTATCTTGTAACGAGTTTTTTATGCACCACATTTATCTATTACATTGATTTCTGTGGCTAAACTTCTTGACGATGTTGCCAGTTTCGTATTATTTACAAAGAAGTTTTGCTTGATACAGGACCAAACTTCGAAGACTTTGATTGGTGCGGGTGAGGCACGTGATGGGGTCTATCATTACACCGGTGCAGTCACGGTTCGTGCAGGCTTTGCTGGGAGGATAGGCATCCGTGAATTGTGGCATCGTCGGTTGGGTCATCCGTCAGCCAAAGTTCTTTCAGTTTTATCAGATTTTAGGTTGTTTTTCTAGTAGTTCCAATGGTTTTGAAAAGGCTTGTGCCGTCTGTGTTAGAGCCAAACATTCTCGAAATATTTTTTCAGAAAGTTCTAATAAAGCTGATTTTATTTTCTCCATGATTCACGGCGATATTTGGGGCCCATATCAAGAACCCTCCTCATATGGTGCTCGCTATTTTTTTAACAATAGTTAACGACTTTTCTAGAGCCGTGTGGATGATTCTTTTACTCGAAAAAAGGAAGCTCCTGGTGCTTTAGAAGTTTTCTTCAAATTCGTCTCCCGAAAATTCAACAAACATATTAAGATCGTGCACGGTGACAATAGTTCGAAATTCATTTGTTTGAAGTCATTTTTCACAGACAATAGAGTTATACATCAGACATCATGTGTTGCAACACCGCAAAAAAAAAAAAAACAGATGCGTAGAAAGAAAGCACAGGCATATACTTAACGTTGCCAGATCGTTGCTGTTTCAGGCAAATCTTCAGATAAGATTATGGGGAGAAGCCGTCTTGACTGCCACTTACTTGATTAATCGAACTCCAGTAAAGATTTTGGACTACAAGATCCCATACGAATTACTCTTCGGCTCAGTACCATCTCTCAACGAGATTCACACATTTGGATCATTGTGCTATGCAAAACGTGTGGCGCGCTACAACGATAAGGTTGGGGGTATCCTGCACATAAGAAAAGCTTGGTTGTGTTCAATCTTGATACTGAGAATATTTTCACTTCTCGCGATGTTGTATTTCATGAAGATGTATTCCCCTACGAAGCACAAACAGTATCTCCATAGTCACCTCCTCTTTCTGTAACGCCACATCCTGCTATATTTGACGACCCTGATCTGATTCCAGCTACCCCTGCAATCTTGATTTCGCATAACCATACGGGTCAACTACCATCTCCTGTGTCAAAGGGAGCTTCTGATATCGCGGTTGAGGAACACCAAGCGTTGCCAGTTGAAACAGAGGTGTCAGGGAGAATCCCGACACCAGTTGGAATAGAGGAACTCGGCAGAGGTAAACTGCACAAGACTGGATCGGTTTTACTTGAACTGTTTCACGTTTACTCTGCTCGCACCATGATAGACCCATTTCACGCCTCATCGCCTGCTGCATCAAAGTCTTCAAGTAAGTCTTGTTACCCTCTGACTGATTGTATCTCATGTCACCGTCTATTTCTTGCTGAGTATCCTCTGTTGTGGTTAAGGTCTCTGATGATCCGATCTCATACAAAGAGGCAATGCTACTCGAAATATGGCAAAATGCTATGGGCACAGAGGTTGGTGCTTTGGAAAGACAGCACATTTGGGACGTTAAAGATTTATCTCCCAATAAACGAGCTCTGGGTTGTAAATGGGTATATCGCACAAAGTTCAAATCCGATGGTACAGTGAAAAGGTATAAAGCCCGTCTGCTGATTCTCGGAAATACTCAAAAAGAGGGTCATGACTATAAAGAGACATTTGCGCCTGTCGTCAAAATGAATACTGTTCATATTCTGCTTGAGGTCTCTGCTGCGAAGAACTGGGAGCTTCATCAGATGGACGCCCACAACGCATTTCTTCACGGTGATCCGGAAGAAGAAGAGTATATGAAATTACCACAAAGTTTTCAATCTTCAAAGCCAAATCAAGTGTGCCGGTTACGCAAATCGCTCTATGGTCTTAAACAGGCTCCAAGGTGCTGGTTCGCTAAGCTTTCACAAGCGCTACTTGACTTTGGTTTCAAGCAGAATTACTCGGATTACTCTTTATTCACGTTGCTCAAAGGCCAGTCTGTGGTTTATGTGTTGGTCTATGTCGATGACTTGGTCATTGGTGGCAATGATTCCACTCTGATTTTGAATTTCAAAAGCTATCTTCACTGGTGTTTCCACATGAAAGATTTGGGTGTTTTAAAGTATTTTTTGGGCATTGAAGTTTCACGAAGCAAGGAGGGCATTTACTTGTCTCAACACAAATACACTTTGGATATAGTTTATGAGTGTGGTCTTCTAGGTGCCAAACCTACAGTTAATCCCATTGAGCAGAATCATGATCTTGGCCGTGATGAAGGAGATTTTTTCACAGGACCGGAGAAGTATAGGCGTCTGGTTGGACACCTTGTTTATTTGGCGGCCACTCGCCCTAATTTGAGCTATGGTGTTCACATTCTAGCCTAGCTTATGCATCAGCCTCGACAGAAACTTTGGGATGCAGCTCTTCGCATGGTACGGTATCTGAAGAGAACACCAGGCCAGGGTATCTTGTTAAGTTCGAAGAATGATCTTCAAATCTCGGCTTATTGCGACTCTGACTGGACTGCCTGTCCACTTTCGCGTTTCTCACTGTCTAACTATATCATCATGCTCAGCGACTCGGTAGTTATCTGGAAGACGAAGAAGCAAGAGGTGGCGGCTCGTTCGACTGCAGAAGCAGAGTATCGCTCGATGGAATTGACTTATCAAGAGCTCCAATGGACCAAATCGATCCTAGACAGTCTTGGAGTTGTTCAGCATCGTCTGATACCTATATATTGAGACAATTAGGTGGAAATTAAGCCAATAATCCTGTGTTTCACAAACATATGAAACATGTCGAAGCTGACTGTCATTTCTTGCGTGATGGTGTTACTTCCGGCATCTACTCAGCCTATTGGTACAGCTGACCAACCAGCTGATTTACTATCAAAGGCACTGGGCCGACAGCAACTACGTCATTTACTTGGCAATATGGGCATTCGAGACATTTATGCTCCACCTTGAAAGAGAGTATTAGAATATTTATAAGGATATGATCAGATAGACTCGTATATTATATTTGATGTTATCTTAAGATTCGATGTTATCTCCTAAAGTGTAGGACGATGGGATCTATATAAAGCCTTGTAACATGATTGATCTAATACAACAAAGAATACAGACTTTGACACTCTACACCACTCGGGATTTCGCCGTGCCTCCGATGATTTCGCTCTCAAATATATTCTTATGGTTCTTAGACATATCTTGTCGAAGCTGAGATACTCACAACTAACTAGATAAATCTTTTTGCATGACCTAGCAATGGGCTTACTGATGAACAAGTTCGCAAAATTTTTATTAAGAGTTCCTTGTT